GTACTACCATTCTATTGACTATTTAAAAAAAAAATGTATACTTTGCCCATAGTCTTATTTCACTTTGTTCTATTTGGTTACCAATGCAGTACACATACATAGTTATAGTGATGTTATACAATGATAATGATGGCATTTTGGTAGTTATGAACTGTCATAGTACGGCAAGCCCACTCCCCAGCTCAGATCTTCTGTGTGTATCTTCAGAATTTATAGAACATTAAAGGGATCCTGAGTGCCGCACCACTGTCAATAACTTGTAGCAAAAACTCCAATATGCCAGTATATTTTCTACCAGCCTGGCTTCAGCTCTGTTCATTATACTAACTTAGGAAATCTATGTATTTGCTCAATTCATTTAGAAGATCAGAAAGGAAAACTAACTGATTGGACATTTCAGTCTTAGGGCGCAAAGACAGGCAGACAGCGAGACAGAAATGAAGGCTGCTACTAGAGATTAGAGAAATTGGAATTGCTTTCTTTGAAGCAAAGGGCCCAATAGAGATACTTAAAATTATGAATAACTGATAGGGCAGGTAGGGCAAAATTGTTTGTAAATAATGTCAGATTTAAAATAAGTGACAAAAAAAACTTGACGGAGAAAGAGGAGAATATTTTTCATAGGGGACTGTTTAGAGTTGCTTTACATAACTTTATAACGTGGATTAGATTCCATAGGAAGCAGCTGTGGACAATCCAGGGGTGAAATATAAAACTGGAGAATTCTTTGAAACTCACCAGCATAACAGCCAGAATGTCACAGCACAGGTGGAGGTCATTCAGTAATGCAAAGAGTTGGTTTTTAATTCCAAAAGGTAACACTGAAATGCTCCATTTTTGTCACCAGATGGCAGAACATCACTGTAAAGCAGCCCCGTCGCAATAATGATTTTGCATCATTACAGGAAAGATTGCTTTCACTCAGACCAAAATCTTTCAGAAATGTCGTGGGGTAAGGACTGTAACTTACGCAAGTGGAGGTAATTGTATAAACAAAAAGCACATGTGGAAAAAAAGATGTTTACTCATGTTTTTCAATGTAAAAATCAAAACCAGAACATTATTGCCCCAACATCTGAAACAGGTTTAACTTCTGTGAAACATACACATGCAACTATTTGCCTAGCCACAAGTCTAATGCTACTATCTTGACATATCACAATGCAATATTATGCAGTATAGGCGTAAGACGAGAAATAGCACGAGACTGCATCTGCATTTGTTCTTTAAGCAATTCAAGGAGAAAATAATAGCCAACACCCTCTATTGAAGTACTTTTTCTAAAATTATGAGCTTGGCTTGACAGTAGGAGACAGGGGGTGGTAGTCAAAAATTATTGTTTGAACTGGCAGCCTGTGACCAGTGGTGTGCTACAAGGGTCAGTGCTGGTTCCACAGTTGTTTGTCATTTATATAAATGATTTGGATGAGAATATAGGAGGCATGGTTAGTAAGTTTTGCAGATGACACCAAAATCGATGGTATAGCGGAGGCTGGATAGGCTGGGACTTTTCCACCTGGTGTATAGGAGGCTAAGGAGTGACCTTGTAAAGGTTTATAAAATCACGAGGTGCATAGATAAGATATACAGCCAAGGTCTTTTCCCCACAATAGGGAAGTCCGAAACTAGAGGGGATAGGTTTCAGGTGAGGGGGGAAAAAGATTTAAAAGGGACCCAAGAGGCAACTTTTTCGAACACAGAGTACTGCAGAAGTGGAACAAACTACCAGAGGAAGTGATAGAGGCGAGTACAGTTACAACATTTAAAAGACATGTGGAAAGGTACAGAGTTAGGAAAGGTTCAGAGGGATATGGGCCAAATGCAGGCAAATGAGACCAGTTCAGTTTAGGACACTTGGTCGTAACAGACAGGTTGCACTGAAGAGTCTGTTTCCGTGCGGTATGACCGTATGACTCTACTGAAATTCCTATTTTTGCTGGGGTATATTCTACCAATCATTTCCAATGCAGTGAAGCATCAGAATGATCATTACTACTGGAATAGCAAGACTATGTTATACAATCTGTTTGCACCAAGTTCAACATCAACTTACCAACTAAAGGAAAATATTTTCTGTAGCAAAAGCAAAAGAAATAATTGACTACTGTTGAGTATTAATCTCACCACAATCCTCCATGTTACTTTTTTGACTAACTATTCAGCAGGATGTTGTATTTAACAATTTCAGTGCCAATTAGAAAATGTACTTAATTGAAAATTAGTCTACCACAAGTCAAAATGAGATATTAAAAAATGTGAAAGTGAAATTTAAAATCAATAACCTAGGTACAGAAATGTTCACTTAAACAAATACTCAGAGGTACAATCAAAATCATTCGTAGCAGAAACTGGGATCAATTTAGTTTTTCTGAGGAAGGGTCACCGAACTCGAAACATTAACTCTGGATTTTTTTTCTTCACAGATGCTGCCACACCTGCTGAGCTTTTCCAGCAACTTCTGTTTTTGTCAGTTTTTCTCCTTTCCACTTGTGGTCCTGAACAATGTTCTGCTCCATATACTATAATTGCTATTTTTATAACATTCTTGAGCATGTGATTCTCTGGGCATCCCCAGTTAGATGGACAACCTAAGCCATTCAAATGCTCATGCCCACCATACAGAGAGTATTTCCACTGATTCTGAAATGAATCAATACTTTAGCCTTTACAATTCTACCTGGAAATTTATTTGAGGTTGATCTTGTGATGCACTAAATTTTCCAGCCTCAATCTCAAATTCCATGTTCTGTTATCACAGTTTATTCCAAAATAGCATCTCAGCTAAAACATTTTCAATGCAGCACGTACCACATATAATGGTGTAAAAGTTGTTTTTTTTTTAAGACCATTTTTAGGCCAAGTCTTAGATCGATTTTGGAGACATTAAGGGATTATAGTGTGACCTTATCTGGGTCCATAAAAAGACATCAAAAAAACCTACAATCCTAAATTAACAAATTAATTCACTAGCACTTATTTATTCTATTAAATTACTAATTATCTTACATCCAACACAATAACACATACCAGTAACTTCAGCAGCATCATTCCACAAGTAATCATTCTCACACTCAACACTCATCACAATCATCATTCCACATTTTAAAAATAATTATCTGACAATATTGGGATTAAGTTCATTCCACGTGCCTACGAGCCCTTTAGCAAACTTTCTGTTGCCTTCCAAAATCAAGTTTTCCCATGACTTTCAGATACTACCCTTGAGGGGTTTACTTATTTGGACATCCAAGGGCTGAATGACATTTGTAAGATGTATAACTGCCATGTTGATGCTGCCAAGTGGGATTTGAACACGTTCCGGGTGAATAAACTCTTTTCCTTTGTGCAGTTCAAGTGTCAAGTTCCACGTTTGATCCATTTCTTATAACGTCCTTCATATTTCCAGATTCTCTCATGAATGTAGACACCAATATCTTTCTAAAATTTCCCTCTGGGGAGGAACTTTGCACTTGGTTTATTTTCTGAAATCTATCATGTAAGATGGAGCCACTATCAGGTGTGCCTTCTTGTGACCAGATGCCTTTAAGGAAGACTTTTTTCATCAATTTTGCTAACAGTCTTGCTTTCCTGTATGTCAAAGTTCAACAGTGTTTCATCCATATTTCAAAAGAGCAATTATTACGCATTCCTCTCTCAAAGCAAGATGACAAACCAGTGTTGATAAAATCATCAAATTCCAGCTTCAGGTAGGTAGACACTGATTTTATTTTGTTTTCTGACAGTACTAAATCATGCCTTCTAATTAATCTCATGCACCACCTAGCACTTAAATTCAGAAATATTATCTTACCTTGCTTCTGAGTACACTAACTTAGATGACCACTGTTTTTCTCCAGTTTAAATTGAACTGTGTACTTGTTAAACTTTCCTAAAGACATTACACTAGATTATGCAGTCATAATTTTTGTCAATTAGCTGGGAGATTGCTGCTAAAATTGTCAGAAGGAGCACCTAAAGTTTCCACACATGCTTTTAAATTAATGAACCACAGTAATTACTGGTAAGTAATTCATAATCATGAACGCTAACTGCAACAGCATCTGCAACCAGACATTGGCTTGGTGGTTCCAGTTTTGATAACATAACTACCTTAATATGTTCATGAGCAAATAAGGCTTTCACGCTATGTCAGGAGCTACTGTGTTAGTTAATAACAGTAAAAGGAACGGCCATCTAAGAAATCTTCCAATACAGATATCGTTGTGTAACGAGCACAATCATTGCTTTTTTATTTAAAAAGTTCTTACAACATTATAAAACTTAATAACCTGCACATAATGTAACATATCACAATTTTAATCACCTTAATCTTTTAAAAATGTTCAGAAAGGGGTTCTGGTTTTGCTGAAATATATGAGGCTTGAAACTTCTGTAATAGGACTGTATGTAAATGTAGTAGAAAAATTCAACTGAACATCATTTAGATATGGAAATATTAGCAGCAGCCATAAAAAGGATTATATATTACTAATCCAGGAAAAAGGAGATTCAGAGGGTATTTTATGCAACAATGAAACCATATATAACATAATAATTCATGAGTCTCTGTTGTATAGAAAATACCAACAAGAGAAATTACTGAGCAGAACAATAAGTTACACTGCTTTGTACAAAGTTCAAATGCCCAGAGTAATTTGCTTAGTTAACCTTGGGCACGTAGTGTTCTTGATCAGTTCCAAAGTAGTGGTCAGGTTCTTGGGAATAGAAATATTAGTGGTAAATAGTTAAGTGATGGAACTTAAGGTTAATCTCAAGTTTTGGGAAAAGAAAAATATCTTTAAGGAATACAAACAGAAGAAAAGCTTCAGTGATGACTTCTGTATTTGCAATTCTGCCAATTAAAGTAACTAAAATGTGTTATTTCCCAGTAAATAAATCAGACACATCTTTGTACATTACACACCCCCAAAGGAATTAAAGAACATTCCACAATAGCATTTTGCTTTCAAAAGAAATCAAACATTAAAGTATCAGCTTACTGCTCCAGTTTCATCCCGTAGTGTTGAAATTCTCCCGCTCAGCAAGCTGGAACAGAAGTAGTTATTAATGAATTTAGATGAAGGTCAATCCTTTCTTGACAGAAAACTGCATCACAATTTTGGAAAATATGTGCTAGTTTATATAAAAGAGGATGAACTTCGTATAGGAGATTACAAATACAGTTTGATGCACCTGGTATATGCACTTTTTAAACAAAAGCAATAGTTAAAAAGGTCCAATTATAATAAAAGCAAAATATAACAAATGCTGGAACTTTAAAATAAAACAGGAAATCATGGCAACACTGCTGGTTTCGCAGCATCTATTTAGAAATGGTCACATTAGGTTTACATTTAGGTCTATTATACTTTGCTAGGACCAAAAGATATTAGACATTTGCAATCTGAGATGAACGAGCAATCTCATTTGTGCCAGTACCCAGACCACACGCTTCCACCTCCTGAACATGGCTCAAATTAGCCCTGTCTCAGCTCACTGTTGCTGAAACTCTTACCCTAATACTTATGAACTTGGTTATTCCAAAATATTCTTGGTTGGTCGTCCACATTCTACAGACCCCCTCCAAGACCCCCACTCCCCCTCCCCAAAACTCCGCTCCCAACACACAGCAACTAGTGTTCCCTAATCAACACTGTGCCTTCTGACCTACAATGGCTCCCAGTCAAACATCTTGATTTAAAAACTTATATCTGGTTTGCAGATTCCCCTGTGGCACTGCTGCCGCCTGTCCACCATCCCTCAATCAATCAACTTCCACCTCCAGCATTCTCCAGTTCTTAAAACCTTGGAAATCATTTTGGAATTTGTCATGTTGCATATCCCTGAATATAGTTCCTCCAACATCATTAGCCATGCACTTAGCTACACTGGCCCTCCTTAAAGCCCTCTCTCATTCCTGTAACACACCTTGAAATTCACCTATTTGGCCAAATGATCCTTATATCCCCTTTCTTGGAATTACCTGCTCTCCTCTAATTCTTTCCTCTTGTACATTTCCAATTATAAAATTGCCTAGCCATAGATAATTGTGCTTTCAGTTGCCTCAAGACTGGAATTCCTCCTCTACACCACCTGACTTTCCTCCTTTAAGAAGATTTTTAATCCTGCCTTTTTGGCCAAATGCTCGCCCATGACTTGATATCACCTTACATGGCTCAACGTCATACCTTGCTTTACAATGCTTGTGAGAAGCACCTATGGACATTTCATTACTTTAAAGACACGATCTGAATAGAGGTTTTTGGTGTCATATCTTAACCAGTTCTCACAAAAGATCATTAGCCAAACCTAGTCATACTTTCTTTCCACAGATGCTGCCTAAACTGTTGAGGATTTCTAGCAGTTTTCATTTCCAGTAGGCATAGGACAATTTATATTTGAAGACATTTACAACAATCAATGCAGTGTCATATCAATATAATTCATCTAAGTAATATTGTACACTGTATCTGCTGAATGATGGCCATAGGTGTTTTAGCTTAAGTGACTCAATCATACAGTATTCAATGTAGACATATCATGCTGGTTAAGTACTAGAACTGAATATCGGTAGGAGAGTTACAGACCTACATTTATGACTTTAGACCTGCTGGGAGTGTGAAAAGTGCAGGCTTTCATTATTTTACAAAGCAGGATAAGAGATGTCACTGTGACCCATACAGGGGACACGGGCGAGCTTAAAAGGAGAGGAAAATATACAAATCTACTAACCAGTTACTTTTCTCCTTTTTTGGCAGGAATAAAACAAGGTGCAAGCTAATCTTGCCCCCAGTTACTGAATTTTTTTAGTCAAAGAGCATTCAAATTGGACAAAATACTGCAGGTGCTGGAAATAAAAACAAAGTGCTGGATGAATGCAGCAGGTGTGGCAGCATTTTGTTACCTTAAAGGTATGATATGAATAGAGATTTTTGGCTTCATATCTTAACTAGTTCTCACAAAAGATCATTATCTAAAATGTAAGTCAAACCTAATCTTATTTTATATTCTTTCAAGTTCCAATATGAGTCTTCTTTAGAACCCATTTCTAATGGTGTATTTTAGACTGGTCCTTAGCAAAGGATATTATACCTACTAGACGCAACTGCATTCATTAAGACAAACAAAAGATTTAAACTGTACAACTGTCCCATTCCAATCACTGGAAGAAATTCCAAATCTTGGGACTGCAGAAGTCTAGAAATATGGTTATTGCAACAGTTCAAGTTAGCCAACAAAACAATTGAACATAATAAATTTACCAGTAGAGCAAAATTAGGACGGACTTAATGTCAATAAAGCAACAAATTCATTCTTACCAATCTGCATTAAAGCAGTTGAACAAAAATGAGGAATGCTTAGCAACTAATATGAACTCACTCTCTTCAAATAATTTTCAGCAGGATTATCTGCTTTTGTTGAATTATGGGACTTCATCCCAAGAACATCAAGTTAAATTTGAAGTTCACTAAGTTCGTAACATAGTTACATGATTTTTTCACAAAAAAAGTTATGATGACAATGTAACTGTCAAATGATTAACAATCACAACAGTACTAACAGTAAATATTTTTAACACAGCATATTGAAAAACAAGACACAGACTGCTGTTAAATTTTTAAAATCTGACTAAAAGTTAAGCATTAATGTTGTTCACAGAAGGAAAGTCAAAGTAAGCCAGTCCTGTCCCTGGCTAGAAAGGAACGATAGTCAGTATTCTGTCCTAGATCTGGCATGAAAAAAACGTAATTACTGATTACTATCGAGAGATCATTGCTGGGAACTGCACTTTCTTTGTATGTTATCTAAGAAAACATCTAGCATTAAACAAAAACAGAAAAAGCTAGAAATATTCAGCACTGGCAGTATCTGGAGAGAGGAAATGAACTGAAACATCGACCTGAAAAATTTTAATTCCCCACAGATGCTGCCAGATCTGCTAAATATTTCCAGCATAGTGTTTGAATGTCAAATTTCCAGCATCTGCAGTATTCTGCCTGTAAGCTGAGACAATGTGAAGTTTATTGTTTCAAAACTGTCCATTAAAACACCACACAGTTTTGAACATAAGGAGATTCTGGCAGATTTGTGGTCCCCTTTTCTCCAATCTAAATCATCATAATTGCAATTAATGAAAAAAAAATGTATTTGTGCCATACTGAGGTGGTTTATGCAGAAGGTGAACAAAGAAAGCAAATTTAAGTGCTGGGAACAGCACTAAAATGCTTTGCATAACAACATTATCACCACTCCAAATTGGCCATTTCTTTCCTCAACCATTTTGTTAAAGGAATTTTTTTTACCCCAAACAATACACTTTTGAGTATTCCAGGTTGTACCCTGGATGACAGCAGTAACTGCAGAGCTAATTGAGAATGCAACAGCTAAGTGGAAAGGTCCCACTACAAATGAACAACTACAAATGTGTGCAGATATAGCTCTACAAAAAGAAAATCACAAATATTTTAAACTCCTTTTACTTATGGGAAGTTTCAGGAATTTCCATTTTTAAATAGACAACAGCTACTGAACTGTCAACATACAATTCTAAACTTGAGTAATTGTTGATCCAATCCAACCTTAGGGAACTCATTCCCTGGGAAAATGATTCACTTAGCGGTTGTGAAATCATCTTCAGTTTTGGGAAGTTTAAATGGGTCCCAAGTGAAAAACATTTTTTCCCCCCTTTCTTCAGATATCATTCCAGTTTGCCAATAAGAACATCTTACCATATCAGACAGTTTAATTTGAATCTTAACAAAGCTAAAGCTGCTTTTCTATATCATTCTTACATTTACACACTGCAACTTAGAGAGTTTTATTTTTATTAAAGTATATACTCTATATGTGTGTTTTATAAACTGTAATGTTATACTCTATACCTCTGCTATTGCAGAAATCACATATTGAAACTCAATCTTACCTAGAGAAAAAGGAGTCTGGAATCCACATTAGTGTTTGTCTTGAGGTGCTGAATCTACAACCATTAAAAAAAAAGTTTTCATTTGTAATGTAGAATAAATTGAATACATCAAACAATCTATAAAAGCAAAAAAAGCTTTCCAGATTCCCTATAATGAACTGTTCAGCTTTTCAATCTTGTTTAAAATTTCTACAAAAAGGAATAATACAAATCTGGTTATCTTGTGATAGCTGGGATTTTCAATTGTTCAAGAGGGCAAGAATAGTAGCTGGCACGATTTGAAAATAGTACTTCCAAATATTACATCAGTGGCCTGACGCCTCCAGCATGCACTGGTATTGACAGTGAGGACAGGGTAGTGATGCAGTGGTAGTGGTGAGGTAGGGTGGGATGGGGTAGGGTAGGGTGCTGGCCGATAACCAAGAATGTGCTGCCTTTCAAATCTCAAATGCAAACTCAGTCTGGCTCACATTAGTGCACAGCTGTTGAGTTCAATGTGGGAACTATTAAGTAATTTGTTTTGAGAAATGTCACAATGCAGCCACTAAGGCATTTTGAGACAGATCAAACACAGTTGCTTTTAGTCACTGGCCACTTCTCTTGTGCAGTGAGGCTACTGACACTCCAATGTCCTTTCTCTTCTCTTTTGCAAGGCAAAAGCAGACCATGTCATAGCTGCAATCTGCCTTTCATGATCATGCTCAGCAGACAGCTCTTACCTCTTGGCAGTGCCACTAATTGAGACCCAGCTTGCCTTCAGTCCAATCAGGGCATTTATATTTGCAGAGTGCATCATAGATGTAGGAGTAGTTAAGGCCTGGAAATGATGCAAGTGTCAGATTTCTAACCCTGGATTAAAAGTCAAGGCGCACATGTGTCTTAATTTTAGTCATTCCCCTTAATAAAAGAACCAGTGAGTAAAGAACCAGTGAGTAGACAGACAGACAAATGACACTGTCTACTCAGATCACTGGATCATTCTATGAACGCTTAGACATTTCATTTGTGTCCTACTCATTTTGTTCAAACAACTGAGATTACGGTTTGGCTGATACTTTGTGAACACTGTGTGGAAAGGGCAGATGGTGATAGTGGAAGCTAACAGATACATTGTTTTGTTACAGTTTTATATCTTTTAGGATTTCATAATAAACGTATGTCATCGGTCACTGAAAGCAAAAAATTGACCATGACAATGTTACAATATTATAGTGTGCAAACTGATTGCCAGAAACCTACAGATAGGAAATTGTGCAATAAACGTTCTTAAAAGTTCCATATCAACAAACTGCATATTTGCAGTCATAGTCCATAATATGCTCTTTTAATATATTGGCAAACCAGCGTCATTTGCATTGACTCGAAAGTTAGAATGGATAGAAACAATGTTGAATAAACTGGCTGCATAAATATCTAAAATTAACTTAGGCAAGTACAAATTGAAGAAGCAGAGTAACTATACTTTGGCTTCACAGCAGCTCCATTAGCTCAGAGATAGTAGGAACTGCCGATGCTGGAGTCTGAGATAACAAGGCGTGGAACTGAATGAACACAGCAGGCCGGGCAGCATCAGAGGAGCAGGAAAGCTGACGTTTCGGGTTTGGACCCTTCTTCAGAAATGGGGGAGGGAAAGGGGGCTCCGAAATAAATAGAGAAAGGGGAAAGCGATGATAGAAGGTGGATAGAGGAGCAGATAGATGAAGAGAAGACGGACAGGTCAAGGAGGTGGGGATGAAGCCAGTAAAGACCCGACCGTCTTTTCTCCCACCTATCCACTCCTCCCACCTCCCTGACCAACCCCCACCCCCACTTCCTACCTACTGGCTTCATCCCCGCCTCCTTGACCTGTCCATCTTCCCTCCCACCTACACGCCCCATCCTCCTCACTGACCAACCCCCATCCCAACTCCCTACCTACACTCACCTGTACTGGCTTCATCCCTGCCTCCTTGACCTGTCCGTCTTCTATAATCGCCTCCCCCCTATTTATTTCAGAGCCCCCTTCCCCTCCCCCATTTCTGATGAAGGGTCCAGACCCGAAACGTCAGCATTCCTGCTCCTCTGATTCTGCCTGACCTGCTATGTTCATCCAGGTCCACACCTTGTTAGCTCTATTAGCTGCTTTTTTAGCATCAACAGAATATCCTATTGTTAAGTATGGAGCCACACTATTTTATTTCACCAGCCAGACATGACAAACAACTAACAATGTCATTCAGGTATATTTAATCAACCTGTTCAGGTGTGCTATGATGCACCTCTGGAGCAGGTGGGATTAAAAACCAGGCCTCCTGGCTCAACAATATTATTCAGAAATAGCAGGTATCAAACCAGAGTACAACTTGCAATTTAATATCTACAATTTAATGAACAGTATCTCTCCAGTGCTCTAGAATGATTCAGCAGATGCATAAGTCTCTGGGACACAAGGGGTTAGGAACAGAACCTCAGTTTAGTTTGGCAAGTGGGGCAGAAAAAAACTTCTCCCAGTGGACAATTCTTGGCTATCACCGATAGCAAACTGCAGAGTCATCTACATTCAAGTTTATAGGCTGTAATCTCCCAAACAGTAAGACAAAACTGAATGGAAGGAAGCAATGACAGCAGTGGAGCCTCTTTAAATCTAACAGGTTTTAGGCTATCGAATAGGTATGGCTTAATTACCTACCCTGTCGTTCTGAATCCTGTCTTGGAAAGGTGGCACTACTTAAAAACTCTCACTTCTCACCAAATCCAGCCTCACAGGTATGAGGTCATTGGAATTTTCAAGTACTAAAATAATGTCATAACGGGAAAGTGCCTAGGAAACACTATTAGAGTGGATAGAGATGTTAAACTAGTCAGATAGCACTATTGCAACAGTGCGTTCTGAACACATTGTACTGTACTACAATCAATATGTGCCCATTTAACATTTTTAAATCTTTCATAATTATGATATGTCTAACGAGTCAAGGCAAGTAGATACACTGAAGCAAGTCAGTGGTGGCAGCCCACAGTTTCAAAACACATTCAGTCATATTCAAAAGATATGAAAAAACTTCTGATCAAAAATGTTCTAGACACTGCTTACAGTTACATGAAATGATTTCCAATAACTCAGCGTTAATGCCAAGCTACACAGTATGTACTGACTGATACAACAGTACACACTTTTTAACAGGTTCAGCTCATGTACTGAATATAGTGTTGTCTAATTGAAAATGTTCCAATGAGAACGTTGTTATAATGAGAATGTTTACTAAAATGTTCCATTAAAGTAATGACTTAACTTCAGTTTCAGCACAAAAATTATATGAATTTGGCAACAGAATTCTTGCAAGGCAAGTCACCCAGTGTCACCACGTATTGCACCGTTAGGTGACTTGTAAAGCTCTCTCTTCTGAGATTAGGCTTCAGGCAGATAAGTACCTTTTGTCCTTTTCCCATACAAGCCATCCCATAGCATCCGCGTAAGATCAATTATTGCCCAATTTTATAACTTTATCCTTTGATTTATCCCTTGGTGAACTGGATGGAAAACAGCCAAATTCATTTGACCCAGAACTTATACAGCATGTTGACGAATGAGAAGGAAACAATAGAGAGGGTGTGAAATGGTGTTCCAGAACGAACACCTAATATCTAAGCAATTGTGAAATCCAACTCCTTGAAAATATTATTAAAAATAATTTGCTGTTCCACACACTATTGTGGCACTGTCATCATTCAAATCACTGCATTTTCTCTACATTCAACATGATGATGCATCGATACATTGACATAATGAGAACATTATTCTAAATAAAACCTAAACTGATTGTTCCTGTAACTCAAAAATATTCTGCAGTGTAGCGCAGTACCATATCATCATTAACTTTCCAATATGAAGATGACTTGTATCAAAAGAACACCAAGGGCCATCAAATAAGTAACAGTACCATTAACAAATAAGAGATGCCTTAAGGAGATCAACTCTTCAGTTTGTCTGGTAAACTCTTGTTTATTATCAAATACCAAGAGATTTTTGTTTCTATCCCACTTCCAGCAGCATCTCACCAGTAACCTTTTTTTATGTTGATCCAACTTAGTTTACAAGCATTCTTCTCTTCCATTATTTCAGGTAATGAGACCCATTTTAGAAGTATACTGACATGGATTTCATTCTGCTGGAAAAACATCCGATGTGGCTCTGTATCAGAAGCTTTAGTAAAATCTAAATTAAGATCCCTCTTCTATGAGGTTTATTATTGTCTAAAAAGACTGAGATTTGTCAGCTATAGCAGTACTGGTGAAAGAAAGCTCAACTGACCCAGCCATATAAATACCACATCTACAAGATCAAGGATCCTGTCAACAGATGAGTATTATACAGCAAGTGACTCAACTTCTAACTCCCTAAAATAAAGCCTTAACACCACCTAAAGGCACAAGTCAGAACAGAGATGGAACTTTCCCCAACTAGTTTGATGCACACAGCTTCAGCCACACACAAGAAGCTTGACACTTGTTATGAAGTTGCTGACAGTAATTGTGAAATGGAAGGCAAGAAGCTAAAATGTGTGGCTCCTTTAAGAGATTGTGCTTTGTCTGTACTTTGGAATTTTAAGGAAAAATTATGTCTGTGAGCAGCAGCTGAAGTTGCCAGTAGAGAGTCTCAAAAAGCGAAACAAGCGTATCAAAAAAAAGCCTTACAAGTGGCAGAAAAAACAACAGTCTTGTTTTGATGTTGTGACAATGAATTTGCACTTGAGCGATTAATTTAAACAAACACCTGGATAAAGAAAGCCAACTGAATTTAAATCTGATGGTGTTGACAACCTGAAACCAATCATATTATAAGAATTTGATTATGTCATTACGGGTGTACAAGACAAGGGCATTTGGAAAATCAGGGAGAACAAATTGCCATCTGAAAGAGAGCCATCCACCACCTGCCAGAGTTAGCACCAATCAGCTATCAGAAAAAGCCCACCTAATTAGTCAAAGGTACCACGGTATTTTAGCTCAAAGTCCTCACTGAAGAAATTATAGAGATAAAACATCCCGGGCAGCAGAATTAACGGAAGTGGCCG